GAAATATATACAATGTCCTAATTACTGTATCAGTAGGTAACACCGTGTAAATTTCTCAAATTAAAAATATATGCTACGCTAGTAGTAATTACAACTTGAATAAATAAAAGATATATATCAGGAACCATACTTATATATAACAACTTCATTATAAAATATTAATATTTTAATATTTTATTTAAAAGGCATCTGACATATATTCATGCGCTATACTAGATACAGACCCAAATATATGCATTTCAGGCACTGTAATAATTGTTCTTATTTCAAATATGTGGGAATGAGAATGCAGTATATTTTATGACTATAATCAAATGTCTTCCCTGGCCAGTTTGGCTCAGCAGTTAGTTGGCCTGCGGTGCGGAGAGACCCGGGTTCAGTTCCCGCTAAGGGCATGTGCCTCGGTTGCAGTTTGTCCCCAGCCCTGGTTGGGTCGTGTGGGAGGCTGACACTAGATGTGTCCCTTTCACGTCAATGTTTCTCTCTCTCTCTCTCCCTCCCACTCTATCTGAACCAAAAAAAAAAGGGAAAATGTCCTTGGGTGAGGATTAAAAAAAAAAGTCTTTATGTGCTCATAGCAAATTTTAAGAGCAATAAATGCACTTTTTAGTCATCTAAGGACAAGACTGAAATTGAGCTGAACCTGCTGGATAAACATTTTAAATAAAGTCCTATTCCATCCCAAAGAATCTTAGACAACCAAGAGTGAAATGTCTCAAGTTCACATATCACACAGATAAACACAAAGAAGAACCAAATGTCCTTTCACAACTGCTAACTGTTATCCAACTCATTACAGAGAAATGTCATTTTTCTGATAAAAGAGTTAAAAGCATTTAGCTAGCAACTTAACTTTGAGGTTATATACTTTTAGTCCATCACAAAGGCTTATCAAGTTGTTGTTTTATTTGCTAGAGCTTTAAACATCATTAAGCAGTACCATTTATTTTATTTAGGATGTTAAATTTAATTCTCATTTTAAGCTCTCATCTCCCTCATGTTCTTAAATTAATTCATACAAATCCCTGATTAATAATAAAAAGGCTTGCCATCAGTATTCAAAGCCCAGCCTGAGTTGTCATGGCTGAGAGGGCAGAAATCTGTTTGGAGCAATGAGAGAACCCAACTGAATTCTTGGCGTCTCAGTCTATGAATGTGTAAGCACTTCATCGAATGTTCTGACAGATCGGGGTAAAGGCAGCTGCGTGGGAAACAAACTGGAAGACCTAGGAAGCTACTACATCAAAGTAACTAAATGACAGGAAACAAACTGGAAGACCTAGGAAGCTACTACATCAAAGTAACTAAATGACAGAAGCAATACATTTTACAAGTATATTTTAAATAAAAAAATGTGTTATTAGTGTAAGCTGTTTGTGTTCTAGACACTTATTTTATCCCTTTCAATGATGTCCAACGATCCTTACAAAGGTCACATGTGAATCTGATTTTCAGTATTATTTTTATACATTTATCCAAACCTATAGAATGTAGACAACCAAGAGTGAACCCTGAGGTAAACTAGGAATTTGGGTGATTATGATGTCTCAGTGTAGGTTCATCCTTAGTTTTTTTTTTAAAAAAGGTAACATTCTGGTGAGTGATGTTAGTAAATGGAAGAGGCAACACATGCATAGGGTTGGGAGTATATGGGATATGGGAAATCTCTGTACCTTCCTCTCAATTTTATTGTAAACCTAAAACTGCTCTAAAAAATTAAGTTAAGCCCTGGCCGGTTTGGCTCAGCGGTTAGAGCGTCGGCCTGCGGTCCAGAGAGACCCGGGTTCGGTTCCCGTGAAGGGCATGTACCTCGGTTGCAGTTTGTCCCCGGCCCTGGTCGGTCGTGCGGGTGGCAGCCACTCGATGTGTCCCTTTCACGTCGATGTTTCTCTCTCTCTCTCTGTTCCTCTCTCTCCCTCCCACTCTACCTGAACAAAAAATGGAAAAATGTCCTCGGGTGAGGATAAAAAAAATAATAATAATAAATAAATTAATTAATTAATTAAGTTAAAAAAAAGAGGGAAGTGGTTTCTTCTTTCATCTCTTCATTATATTCTCATTCTTCATTCATATTATTCATTAAGAATAATCAAGATAGCCCTGGCCGATTTGGCTCAGCTGTTAGAGTGTCGGCCCACGGATTAGAGAGTCTCGGGTTCAGTTTCCACTAAGGGCACGTATCGCGGTTGCAATTTGTCCCCAGCCCCGGTTGGGGTCATGTGGGTGGCAACCATTCGATGGGTCTCTCTCACATCATTGTTTCTCTCTCTCTTCTTCCTTTTCTCCCTCCTGCTCTATCTGAAAGATGAATGCAAAAATGTCCTTGAGTGAAGATTAAAAAAAAAAAGAATAATCAAGATAGCTAAAATCTATTGAGTGCTCACTATGTGTATGTCAGGTACTGTTTAACTGCTTTATACATATTACCTCATTTAACGCTTAACACAACCCTGACACAGGTGCTGTGGCTGTCTCCATTTTATACATTAGGAAGTTGAGTCACAGAATAAACTTGAAAGGGCATACACTAGGATGTGATAGTGCTAAGTCTTGATTCCATTTAGTCTAGCTCTTCACCATTATATGATACTGCTTCTAGTTTTTCATTCTTTCAATCATCCATTAAATCATCAATTTTTTTTGAGCATTTGGAATATGCCAAGAACTGTGATGGAAACATTTTCAACAAGGAAGATCTCAAAACATCTACCTTTCTCAGGCAGCTACTACAGGAAATGCTCCATCAAAACCAGGAAATGAATAAAAGGAGTTACTGGAGGAGGTACTCCATCCAAAATGGGAAATAAACAATAAGAGATTAAGATCCGGAATCCAGAAAACAGAAGAATCCAGGAGAAAGGAGAAGAGAATTCTCAGGATGGCGGTAAAGCATAATCCTAGGATGACATCTACAACAGGTCTGGAGATTAGCCAGTTCAGTTTAGAGATGAAGAAGGAAAGAGGGTTCTAGAAGGAATATCGCCCAAAAATATATGGGATTGATTACCTGAAGTGTTTCACCACAGTGAGAATGCCTCTGTTGGGCAATTTGAGGAAAAAAAGTAATGACAGAAACATAGACAACTAAGAAAATACAAAAAACAAAAATGAGGTCATTATTAACCGTAAGAAAAACAAAATGTTGTACCAAGGTATGCATACTGTATTATTCATAACTACGTAATTATTCATTCCCTTCCCACCCTTCCCTTGCTTCTTTACAATTGAGCAGACTTCTACCATACCAACTTGGGGCTTCGCCTCATGACTTGTTTTGGAGAAAGGAATCTGAGTAGATGTGACAAATACCACATCCAAGCAAAATCTTTAAATGCATTTGTGGGGTCTGGTCTGTGTGCCTTTAGCTTTTGCCTCAGGTAGTGTCTCTCTAATGAGACTGAGTCTCAGAATGAGAAGATACATAAAATGAACATGAACTGATCCCAAACAAGGCTAGAGAACCCAGCAGAGCCTCATGTGATCTAAAACCCTTTTGAAATATGAGCAAAAAAAGAAATGTTTTTGTTAGCCACTGAAATTTGGGGTTGTTTTTTGCTATAGCAAAAGTTAACACACACAGTAGTCCCTAGCTCAACAATGAACAATATGTTGTCATAATATAATTAATTATATTACATTGCTAATTATAAAATCAAGAGATACAAGTAGATTATTAAGAATTAGAAACAACTAAAAGAATTGTAAGTTTTTGCCTCAAGGGGAGCTAGAATCAAATGTGTGAAGGATGCAGGTAAGGGAGTACTTTTTGTTATAACATATATAGTACTATTTGATCTTCTCTGAACTATCCACATGTATTAATTTTATAAAAATGTTAACTCACGAGCACAAACAAAAAAGCAACAATAAAACCAGAGAAGCAATCATGCCTGATTCACTAAAAAGAAAGTATTCTGATCCTGAAAGGACAAAAAGACCCCTAGCTGGAATCATGACCTGGTTTTATTATTTCACAATCTGGCGTCTGCTTTTCTCTAGCTTTTCTCGTTGTTGGCTCTGTTTATTCACTACTAGGGGAGAACAAAGAGTACTACTGGCTCCCCTTTACTGTAGAATTAATTATAGCCTAACATTTTCAGTTTCAGATGTCACTGACGATATGTTACAGGAAAGATGTTGCCTAAAAGTGAGATAATACAGGGTGGGCAAAGGTAGGTTTGCAGTTGTTCATATGGAAAACAATACAATAATGAATAAGTAATAATACAAGAATAAAATCTATTTTGCATACTCACAACTATAAACCTACTTCTGCCCTACCCTGTATTAAGAGCTAACCTACACAGAAAACTCTCAGTTAATACATAAGTTGATTATTTATCTACTCTACACATTATCTAAGATCACTGCATGTCCTCTTCCTAACAATTGCCAGCTTCTAGCCAATTCAATCAGCTTTCCCTCTATTACCAAAGAATAAGAAAAATGATTAAAAGTGAATTAAAATTTGCTTCTTTTTTAACAACTATAATTCAGGGACAATATAAGCTCAGTATATCAACAGTTTTATTCACAAAACAAATACACTTAAGAAGTAATTTACAAAATATATTTAAATTGTGGGCCCACGTTTAAATGATTGGATTTACCAGAGTTCTGTCAGTTTTCTAGAAATATACTTATTGAGTAAAGAACAATATAGCATTTAAGATATAATGATAGAGGACACAAAGCTATTTAAAAACAGTTCCATATTGCCTACAGACTGCATTTATGTGAACAGTCTCTCCCTCCATATGAATAAACAGGAGTTATTTGCATGCGGGTTTCACCTAGTAACTTCTATACCATGGACAGAGACATGTAGGAGCCGGACACAGAAAGTACCTTAACTGGGGCGCACCATCTCGTTTAGATATTCTGACATACACCTGACCATACCGGACCTGACTTGCAGTTCACAGGCCTGCCATTTAGAAAAAAGTACTGGGCAGAACAAGAAAGCATAAGAAAATAATTATAGGACACGTTTTTCATACCTCTTCATCTTTCATATTCACATCCACATTTTTCGATTTGATGACTTTGGATATATGGTCAATGTTGTTTTCCCTGCAGTAATCAAATATGTTTTTGTCTTCTTCCCTAATGAGAGTAAAAATAAAAAAGTGTTTGACTTCCTAGGTAATCCATAAAAGTTATATATTTTAAACACAACCCGTTTGCTACTGACAAACAATGAAATCTCTGATTTTTTTGTTTTTGTTTTTTTAAACTTTTCATCAATTATTTATTAATGGTTTTTATGCTGAATACAACAGAACTATTTTTTTTTTTTTTTTTATCCTCACCCGAGGACATTTTCACATTTTTTGTTCAGACAGAGTGGGAGGGAGAGAGAGGAAGAGAGAGAGAGAGAAACATCGATGTGAAGGAACACATCGAGTGGTTGCCACCCGCATGACCGACCAGGGCCAGGGACAAACTGCAACCGAGGTACATGCCCTTAGCGGGAACCGAACCCGGGTCTCTCTGTACCGCAGGCCGACGCTCTAACCGCTGAGCCAAACCGGCCAGGGCGAAATCTCTGTTTTTGTAAAGAATTTTCCATGAACAATAATGGATTTTCAATACATAACACATCCAGCCCCTGAACAGATGACGGTTCTCATCAACGACAATTATAGAGAAAAGCCTCACTGCTTTCCCAGTCACACTGACACACCACTGTAGCATCTTCAGCGGGTGACCCCGGTGCTCTCTCCAGTCACTTCCTTCCACACATGGACAGGCACACACTTCCTCTGACTCAAACTTTTCAACCGTAGCACTGCACTAAGAAGCATTGTATTGTCCATACAGAGGTATCGAAAGATCAGAATACAGCTTACTGCTTGTCTTACAGAACAACAGGATGATAAACTGATTGCTACCCAAGTTTAAAATACACACACACACACACACACACACACTCTAAAGTAATTTTCTTAAGGCAAAGATAATTGAAAAGTAATTTTTTTTAAAGGAAAGATAAGTTAGGGCATCACAAAATTCAGAAATTCTTAATGAGATAATAGAAACAAAGACTGGAACAAAAACTGAGAAGCATATTATGCACCCAGCACCATTCTAAATACATCAATGTACTAAATTTACTTTTATCCAATAACTTCACAAAGCAGGAGTAAGGAGAGATTATATGCCCTGACAAATCCATCGAGTTTATCAAAGGCAGAACAGGAGAGCTAGCACTCACTCAGATCAACTGGTTTTCTATATAGTACATTTTTCTATCATATCTTGACTAGTCAACTGTAGTCTATTCTAGAAAATAAAGCAGTTCTTAACATGAGGTCTATGAGTTCTTGAAAACAGGAAAGAGAATTATCTGTGTTAATGCATGTGCATTTTTCTGAACATGTGGTGTGTGTATGTGTGGGGGGGTGTTGAAGATGGGGGTCAGCTTCAATGACATCCTCAAAGGGATAAATAATTTGGAATATTAACAATGAAACTGTTTCCTACTTGCACTGAATTTTCTGGACAGGCTTAAAAGAATGCAATTTGAGTTCCAAAAATTATAACTAGTGTTTTATAACCTCAAGACCGTAGCCTCCATTCATCAGAAATTAAAGCACCTAGCCACAGAAGTCCTCCTATTTTAAAAGCCAATTTAAATACCTTATACCCTATAAAAATCATTTTTAGTCAGAGGTAATTAACTTAAAACACACTACTTTGGCCTTAATCATCTAAGTTTTCCTTATGCATGTGATATATTTAACTGAGCACCTACTACATGCAAAGCACTGGGCAAGATTCTGTTAACAGATAACAAGGATAAGCAAGAAGCTTTGTATTCAATGCATGCCCAGTAGAGTTGGGATGACAATACTGATACACCATTAATATAAGGTAAAACTGGATCTTCAGAAAGGCCTAAAAGAGTACAGAGGAGAAACAGTCTGCTTCAAGGTGGAGAAAATGAGGCATGTGTCCAGGAAGAAATCATGTTTAAAAGGAATACAGGGGTGTGCAAAAATGGGTTTACATTTGTTTGTATAAAATATAATACAATAATTACTAAATAAAACAAGAATAAACTCTGTGTTTTGCATACAAACAAATGTAAACCCACTTTTGCCCAATCCTGTTTATGGTCTCTTGATAATGTCCATTTTGTAGAAGAGAAAAATACATTTTTACAGATTACCTATTCTGAAAGAAAATAGAGAAAGAAGTCTGAGGCTAAAACCCCAGAAAGGAGAGGTCTGATATTTAAAATTAAGGTTGCAAATAGTACCACTTTAGCTATATTTTAACTACCACAAAAAAAACCCACACAACAAAACATAGTTTCTAGGCAAATGTGCATTCAGAATATCAGCTTTGGAATAACAGGGACCTATTTTTCTCCAATCCAGTAACAGAGACCCCTCTAATTCAAGAGGCTGCAACTTCAACTGAGAGAGAAAGGATTGTGTCATTTTAAGTCAGAATATAAAATGTACTACTTACCAATTGTTTGAATTTGAAACTAATGGGAAGCTGCTGGTGGGGCACAGAAAAAAAGAAAGAAGGATCCTCGGGATGTCAATTACTCATACCCAGTCATAGATGAGAGGACCTTTTGAGTGTTCCCTCTTCCTGAACCCCAAATGTGCATATATACCTATGCCATAAACAGTAAGAGAGTCAATATAATAAAAGCCTATTTAAATTTTTGCTTTGCTTAATATACTGTCAGTTTCTTATATGCATCAAATATTTTGATTTGGTATATGAGTTTTTGGAGGGCAGGGGGCAGCTTTTCATCTAAATATTTGCTTACTGTCTACAGTTTGTCACTGCTAAATAGGTCAGGCACATAGAGGTATTTATAAAATATTTCAGGATAAAGTATATAGTGTAAATGAAAAACTTTAAAAATTCAATAAAATCACCACAAATGTGATACAAAGTTGAGATATATTCAAATATATATATATGATATATATATATGATAACACGTGGACTTAGTAGTTGAATAGTTATCTACCCAACTCAAGTCTGAGTATCTTACTTGCCAGCAACCAAGCTGTCAATACAATGCCACCACCTAGTGGCCAGAATGGAGAAACATGTGGAAAAACATCTTTCCACATCTAATTTCTTGCCCCTAACAAGATTGTGTACAAAGTACAAATCAAATTCTTTTACCTCTGCATTTCCCTGTTAACACAATCTCCCAGTGGCAACCTTGCCCTCTAGAGCCATCCCTAAAGGAAACAGGTGCAAGTGATTCCAACCAGCACCAAATACAGGTGAGCCTTAATAAGCATTAGTGCCCTTCCACGTGTTCTCAACTTATCTTCCTTCTCTTATGCTTATTATCCAGTTATCTTTCTCCCTCTCTTTCTTAAATGTGAGAGATAAAATTCTCATATCCGTTCTTCATGGATGAGTATGAGTTATGTTTGTGATGCTATCCTCAAGATTGTCCCACATTGTCCCTAGCACAAGACAGAATGTCTCTCTCCAAAATTTCCGAAATCGACAGAAAATATATTTATGTATCCAAAGAAAAAAAAGTATCACTGGCTTTCTTTGAAATTCTTTTGAAATATAAAGGCACACCATTATGGAAAAAAGGGATGGTGTTTAAGTATGGCCATCTTTCATCAATCACAGGAAGGACAGAACCTCGCCCATTCCTAAATATTCTAGCTGCACCACTTTCTACAAAGAGTGCATTTCCCTACCCAAAGAATATTTCAAATAGTCAGGCTTCATGGCAGGCCACCTAGTCCATTTAACTACTATTTCACCTATCTCATAGAATTGAAAAATCACATTTATGGGGCTAGCTCAGATATGTAACTATCTAATAGATACATTAAATAAATATTTCAATTCAGTTCATATATTTACCAAGCAACTAGTAATCAGATATAAAAACAGCATTCCAGTAAGTAGACAATGAAAAATTATTTCTTGAATAAAAACACACAAGAAGAGTAAGCCAGTACTCCCACAAATATAAACCACCGCTCCCAGTTCCTCAAACTGATGGATGTCTACCTGCGGGCTCCAGAGGTATACCACAAAGACCTTTAAAGGGATATATAGGTATGGAAAATTTTATGTGACTTAATTTTCAGCTCAATTTCCATATAAATACACTCTTTCCTAAACTGACCCACTGAAAAGGCTCCTGTGGTAAATATTTCCTCACCATTCTCCTTTTTAACATTCCTTCTTCTCAATCACTACCCGCCCCTCTCCCTCCCCTTAACTTTATAAAAGAAAGGCACATACCTCTCTCCTTACTATGGTCTACTTCTAGGAATTAAAACCAAAAGACTTTACTAAGATTTAGCAAACAATTATTAATTAAACCTGTTACTCCCTTGCATAAAAATACTGTTTAACTAATATACTAGGAAAGGTTTGGGGGAAAAAATATCAACCCTAGGTTGTACTGCATCAAGATAATAAAATCTTCCATAGTACTAAATAAAGGGACAATTTGGGTAAAAATTTGGTGTTAAAAAGCCTTCTGTAACTGAGGTTAGAGGATGAAAGAGCTGAAATAAAACAAAAAAATGACTTGATGCTAAACTTTGTCTCATTCTAATAGAAATATTCATTGGTTAAACTAGATATTTTTAAAAACTTCATTGATACACTTTCAATAAAATTTTTACTTATGTTTAATAATTAACAAAATTTATAATGTGTGTTATATAAATAATTGTAACTCAAATGAGAAAAAATTTTATTACTTAAAGCTTTTGGGTAACAAACTTTAATTTTTTAAAAGACAAACTTATATACATATTTTTGTTGCAGAATTATGGTAGTGTGATAATACTACACAAAATAGAATACTTTGAAATATGTGCGAGAAGCAGAATAGAAGAATAATGTAAATTTTGTAAAATGTCTAACTGTTAAAGCACTTGTTCATGTATTTTTAAGTCAAGATAAGAATTTTATTTAATTAAATTTATTCAAGACAGTTGAAGATTCACATGCAGTTGTAAAAAATAACAGGTCTTGTGTACCATTTCACCAGTTTTTCTCAATGGCATGTTCTTTTTTATTTTTAAATCCTCGCCAGAGGATATTTTTCTATTTATCTTCAGATAGAGTGGGAGGAAGGG